ATGTCATAAAGGGCAAAAAATAAAACAAAATATAACCAGGGGAACTCAAAAGAAAAGGAAAAGGAGCAAATAGACCAATGGAACAAAAAAAAATCAGACCAGTCCCACGATATCCTACAACAATCCAGCCTTCTGTCTGCCCTCGGTATCCACTGTGGGTTTCCACCAAAGAAAATACTGGTGAGCAGCTGTATTAGTGGCTCCGCTGAATAAGCTGATGAGCTAAGTGGATGAAAGAATCCACAAATACAGTGAAAACCAGTCCATGTTCCTTGAGAAAGAATCAACCACAAGTGACTTTAAAGCGTTTGCCACTTAAAAACCTTTTAGCTGGGTCCCTTTTGAATTATGACTACATGATTTTAAATTACACTTTCTAATTCCTCAACCCACCCCCCTCAACAGTCACTCCTGCTTCATTTTCCAATTACATCCTTTTATTTCAGAATGATGAAGAGTACTACTTACTGAATCACGTCCTGTCTGCTCACTTATTCCCTTCATGCAGATGTGAAAGCAGTCCGCTCATCAGGATCTACTCTCCATCCCCTCTGCCCAGAACAAGATCCGGGTGGAGAAGAATTCCACAGAGCTCGGGCAGAGGAAGACACTTGCAACCAGTGCTCCCCTCCATAAATTATTATAATTCTTGAGGCTTTCTACATCCATCTAGCAATCACATAAATAATAGTGAGTGGACTGATTTTTCCTCTGCAAAGTGCTATGTCCTAGTTTTCAAAATAAAGCTCTGAGACATTGACGTGTCTGTGGAGTAGCAATGGGAAGCTGCTGGGATCTGGTTCAAGCCCGCACACAGACATACCCACACACCGAGGAAAGGAGGACTATGTAAAAGTCAGCACCCACATTCCTCCCCACAAACACATCAATTCACACACCACTCAAAGGAGTTTGGGACCTGCGTGGCTGGGACAGGCAAGAAGCAAGAGGTTACTCAGCATTCAGATATGATTTGCAAAGAAAATGAATGGTGATTTACAGTTCTCGTGGCAATCTATTAAGCAGATGTCACTCGGGGAATCCCACACTGAAGTCTGAGAGTGGGGCTTGGCCGTTTTTATGATTGGTTCATGTGTAATTTTTTTTGTAGTCATGCAGAAATCTGCAGTTAAGAATTAAACCTCCAAAGTACAATCCATTAACTAATGTGCCTGAATGATAAACTTACCAAAGCTAAACTCCATTCTGCACCCCCACCCCCATTGTGCAGGGAACCCATGGCAAGCCCAGGGTTGGGGAAGGAACCTCAGCCTTTTCCACAAATCCTCAAATACCAAAGAGCGCTTGGTTGTGAGGCAGGGAAAAGCAGAGTGCAGGGAAGGGCTGGAATTTCTCAGGTAGCAGGTGCAATAGATTGTGCAGCCCGCAATACTGTGCAGAAAATGCAAAGAATGAAATGGAGGGGAAACGAGAAGCCTGTTGGAAATTGGAAGCAGGCATCGTTTTGTCCTTAAAGCGATGAAGCCGGCGCAAGCAACATCAGAATGTTTTCATGTGCGGCAGTGCTAAGCCACAAAGCCTTCTCGGGAGGAGGGCAGGGGAAGGGGAAGCAGGGCCACAGACAAGTTGCATTGTAGGAATAAACTTGCAGGTGCAGACTGGGGTGGTAGAAAGACGAACCTGCTCCTGCATCAACAACCAGATACATGCTTCTATTTATGTCGAATGACCAGATTCTGACATCATGTCAAGTTCATGTCCAGGAAAACCTTTGGAAGAGTAATTCACAGAAAGGCAAAAGAACATTTCAAGTCACTAGATGAATTCAAAATTATAAATGTATTAACACATAATCTCAATTTGTTGAGAATTTTTTAATGAAATTGAGCTGCCTCATCAACCATAGTTATTTTAAACGGAAATGGAGCATAACTAAGTTTTGTCTCACTGGGGCGGGGGTGGGGGTCAAAATAAAATAAAGTAAACATTTGTGCTGGCAGCAGGCTGGCTGGGTCACCAGGGAGAGTCACAGTGAGTCAAACTAACCAAGAAACCATTTTTACCTCCCACCCAACCCTACTCCAAAGAGGGATTCTTTTTTTGGGGGGGTGTCTTTCCTTTCCCTAGCATTGTTTTTGCTTTTCACACTTTAGTACCTCTTAAAACCCAAAGCAAACTGTGTCAGGGGCAGGCTGGAGAAGATGCTGGAGCAGTGTCATTTTGTGGAGACATGCACACACCAGGACCACGCTGCAGGGAGCTGCTTTCAGCATGTCCGCAAGATCCTCGCTAAATGGTCCCTTACTACAGGAAATGTTCCCTTCTGGCTCTCTGAGTGTCTCCTGCATCTGGTCCTAGAGGACGAGGCACCCAAGACAAAAGGAAGACCCTATAAACAGGCCTGGCTCTCGTCTCAATAGCCAGCAACTTCAACCTGTGGGTACAGAATGAGCCTGAGAACCTGTTCCTGGACCAGGGCACCTGCGGAGCCCAGCCAGAGGTGCAGACAGACAAAGGTAACCTCCCTCCGAACAGAAGGCAGAAGAATGGAAAGGGGGATGCATGCAAAGACCCTTTTTTGTTCCCAGGAGGGAGGGGCGATGGGCGAGACATGTCACATTGTCACTTTAAAGATTTTGACAGACAATTCAGGGATAATGCTGAAATTCCACCCTCAACTGCAGCTCCCGAGACTTGAAAGGCATTAACTAACCTCCACTAATTGCATGGTTTTCTATGCATAATATTTACTTGCTAAAAGTCTTTGCCTGGCCAACTGATTTCCTCTGTCCCGCTATTCACCATCAGTTCACAGGTCTGAAATTGTAAAGGCAAAGGTATTTTGATAGATTAAAAGATGACTGCACTTGGTCCTGTTTCCTTTCCTCCAGAAGTCCAAAGTGCTGATCTTTTTCTCTGAATGCTCCCTTTTGGTGAAATCCAGCAACCAGCCGTGATTCCTCAGACAAGAAGAGTGTGGGCCCTGTATGCAGGGAGCACACTAGGGGCCGCCGGCTGCCTGGGTGGGGAGGCAGCAAGTTCAAGGGAGGAACAAATGAACTTAAATCACTTTGGTCAGATAAAAATTTAATAGTCCCATGGGTGGACTGGGAAATTTTAAAAAGCAGCTTTTCCAGAGTGATAATTGCATACACCGATCTGTGTGTTTCTGATGCAGCTGGGCAAAAGTGGAAACACTCTGAAATGCACAACTTTTACCTAAACCTAGGCCTGTTCTACTGGTCACTAAACGCAGCCCACGGGGCATTGGCCAGGGTGGGTGTGAATGGCTCTGAGCATACCATTCAGTGGTTACATCCAAGGTCCTTGGTCCACAGAGAGATGGACACCCAGCCCCCAGAGAAGGTTCTGATTCACATGGGTCTTCCGAAATTTTCTGGGACTCCGGGAGGAAATCAGAAGACAGTCCCATGTGGAACCACTGCCCAAACACTCGATTAAAGCTCCATGACTGGATTGTCGCCTTTTGACTACCCATCAGCCAATCAATATGCCTCCAACAATGGAGCACTGGAATAGATGGAACCATTTCGCCGAAATCCATCTTGAGAAAAAAAGATTTTACAAGTGTTGAGGGGCTGCCACTCGGAAAGCCAATTTGCAGAGAGCCGGGCGTCGTGAGGCACGGTTTATTATGCGAGGCTCTCACACAGCGATCCCCTGAAGACTGCGCCTTGCTTCAGACGCCTCCCTATACCACCAGCTCCAAAGCCTGGTGTTCTCTCTGCCTCAGCCCAGCCATATAAAAGCCCCCTCCCCCAGATGGCTCCTAGTGCCCTGGCTCCTGTGCACCAAGGCCTGGCTTCCAGCCGGGAAGTAGGTGGCCTCTCAGACATCCCCCAAAGCATTTTCAGCCATGTGACAGGGACTCATGAAGTTGGTTTAATATTTTTTTTCTGTTCTGGCCAAGGCCACTCAGGGTATTGAGGCATGACTGCCCACACGACCCCACGCAGGCCCCCTAAGGAGGCAGATCTCTGCTAACAAATCTCCCATCACCATTCACCTCCTGTCAAGCCAGCTCAACCATTCAACAGCACCTCACTTTTGTTCCCCAGTTTAATTTCATAGTTGTTTATCACTTAACAAGCTCTCCTCGGGGTCATTCAACAAAACAGTGGAAATGGGGAGAGGGTAGCAGCTGAGCTCCTGGAGGGGTGCTAAGGGGAAGATATCCCACAGAGGTCAGCTGGACATGGTTGGGGTCCAGTTCCAGAGTGGGGCCTCTGAACCCCAATGCACCACCTGGCCTGAGACCCCAGAGTTGAGAGGAGATCGAAGAGGGTAGGTCCCCAACCTAAACCTACCCGGCTGGACTCCTGGACACGGCAGCTCCCAAGTGTTCCCACATAGGGTCCAGGGAGACTGTATGATACTCTATTCTATGGCGGTCCCAGAATAAACACGTAAGAGGCAAAACTGCTCCCTGGCATGGGCGGTCCGTGTAATACTGCTGCTGAGGACTGGGACTTGTCTGGTTAGTCCCTGGGTCCCCATCTGGGGGCACAGTAGACAGCAGTAAATAACGTGTTGAATGAGTGAGTGGCTGGGTGGATGGATGGACAGATGAATGGACGGATGGAATGAAGTTTCCAGTAATACCTAGCCAAAGTGGCCACTTGACCAGCATCCGTCCCTCTCCTCTTCCCCGTAGGTGCCAGCGGGGACTCGCTGCGCACAGTAGGTTCTCCACGACTGGAGCTGCTATTGTTGTCACCGCCTTCACCACTTGCGCCCCAGCAGCCCGCTTCTTCCACCGGCTACTCCGCCAGCAGCCGGCAGCGATGGGCGAGCAGGGGAAAAGTTTCGCTGACCGCGCGGCCCTCGCCGGAGTCCAGCCCCCCGGCCAAGCCCCCTCCCGCGCAGCCGCTCGGCCGGGCCGCCGCACCCGGCAAAGGCGGCCAAAGTAACTTTGCGGGCGCCCTGCGCAGCGCCGCGGGCGTCACCCCGCGCCTGGAGAGGGTCCCGGCCGCGCCCCCTCCGGCCCGCCGCCCGCGCCCCCGCCGCCCCGGCCCTACCTGGCCCCGGGCTCCTCTTCGGCGGCCGCGGCGGCCGCGAGCAGCAACGCGCACGGAGGGAGGCAGGGGCCCGGCTCCCGGGAGGGAGGCGCGCAGGGGCGGGGGCTCCTCTGGCGGCGGCCGCCTCGCCGCGCGTCCGAGGCTGCAAGTGGGAGCCAGACTCCTCCTTCGGGGGGCGGGGGGCTCCCGCGCCCCCTCCCTCGCCCGCCCGCCCGCCGCGAGGCTCCGAGCCGCCCGGCTCCCCGCTCGCCGCCGCCGCCCTCCCCGCGCTGCCCCCGCCCCCGCCCCCGATCCCTCCCCCGCCCGCGCGCGGGAGCGGCGCGCTTCACTGCCTTGGCCCCGGCCCCGCGCGGCCGCCCACCGGGCCCCCGCCAGGCCGCCCAGGCCTCGGCCTCGGCCCCCGCCCGGGCCCGGCGCCCGCATCCCGCCACCGAGGGGCCGGGAGCGGGGAAGCGGGCCCAGGCAAGGGGAGGAGGAGCGCGGCCCGCGCTGCGGAGAAGGGAAGGCGGCCGCTCGCCGCGCCCCGCGCCCTCTCCGCGCCGCCCCCAGCCCCGGCCGGCCGCGTGCGGGAAGCGGGGCGGGGGCGCTCTCACCTCCGGTTCCGCGGCCGCCACGGCGGGCACCGCGTGCAGGGGCGTGCGCGGCTCCTTCCGGGGCGCTGGGGTCCCCGCCCGCAGCCCGGACCCCCTCCCAGGGCCACCGGGGCACCCTGTCCGCGGCCCCTCCCGCTCGGGTCTGGCATTAGCCCTTCCAGCCCCTTTTCAGGGGAGTGCGGACCCCAGCTCCTAGAGCGAATTGGCTGGGGTCTTACTGTTGTGTTCCCCTGGGGTGTCTAAGGTACCCAATCCTCCTGCCCAATGGGCACCCTCACCCAGAGACCCAGAGCTAATAAGTAAGCAAGTCAGGACCTCAAGAGAGGCCGGCAGGGCCTGGGGAAGGAAGGCCCTGTCTTAATGGGGAGAGGGCAAAGCAAGTTCCTGAGCTAAAAGGATCCCACCGAGGGGAGTTTGAGAAGTTGCTGAGGTCCCCTAGCCACCTGCCGCGCTGGCGAGGGTGTCCAGAGGGTTTTGTGTGGTGAAATCATATGGCACTCTGGCCTGGACCTCCCAGACTGTGAGGGAAATGAGAAGCCCATCTAAGGCCCCTCGATCAATGTTTGTGGGTCTTCCTTCCCCAGCTCACTCACATGTCACACGGAGTCCTCCAACCCTCCCGCGGACCATCAGCAGCGATTCTGAGAGCACCCAGGTGGACACTTAAGGCCTGGGCTGCGCTGGAGGACAGAGCCCAGTCTGGTGGGGGAGGCAAACAAGGACAGACACAGAAGGGAAGAGAGAGAGTGACCTGGTGTGGCTTTCTGAAGGTGGAGAATAAAGACAGAGGCGGAAAAAGCATTCCAGGCGGAGCCTTGGGGGGTGGGGAGAGATGTGCTCAGTGGGGTTACTGAAAAGGGGAGTGGTAGGGAGGAGGGATGGAAGGGGGATGGAATGGGGATGAGGACCAGCCTTGGATGCTTGGTCAAGGAGGTAGATTTTATCAGGTGCTAGAGAAGGTTTTGAGCTAGGGTTTGACTTGGTCAGGTTTATCTTCTTAGAGCTTGCCCTGGCATCCCCCATGGGCAGGCCAGGGAGGAGAGACCTGCATGGGAAGAGGCAGGCCAGGGAGGAGAGTCCTGCCTCCTTGTCTTTGGACCTCCCTTCTCTTACCCTGTGTTCTGCAGATATCCCAAACCCACTGACAGCAGCTTTTTTCCTTCTACGGATGCAGCTTCGTGAGCACTGTGGCTCCAGAGGAGCTAATGAGGAAAACGGTCCTGTGTGCCGGAGACGCAAGACTTGGGCTCAGTATCTCAGCAGAGCTGTACCTGCTGCCTACCACTTGGCCATGACCTTAGGAGGTCCCAGAGGACACCCACTTTGGAAAGCTGAAGAATTTGCTCTCCTGGTGCCTGGGATGACAGTAGAGATGTTCCTGTGACTCTAATCCTCCAAAGGCTAGCTTCATCGCTACCTTGGTTCTACCAGAGCTTGCCTCAGCTCCCAGAATGCTACTTCTTACTTTCCTGGCTAGGCACTGGCTGAACACTCAGCACTTCCTTTGAAGCAAAGTGTGAGCTCCCCACCAAAGGCCTGCCATTACCAACAGAGCCCAGACCCAGGCACTGAGTTCTGAGCCCCCTGTCTTGCAGAACCCCCATGCTTCTGCTGGTCCAGGCTACACCCCAGAGGTCAGGCCTCCCAGAACGTGGTGCTGCAGACCTGTAGAATGACTCTAAAAGACAAGGAAATGAGGAGTTTGGGATGGGCAGGAGAGAGCCACTCCTAAAAGAGCAACCAGTCTGGCAAACACAACAGACATTCTGCTTTTGGAAAAATTTAAAAACACAGTGGCACTTGTTCATGGAGAGTAACAGAAACACCACACGATCCCACACTGTACACCAGCCAGGGATGGCTCCTTCTGCTGAGAGGCCTTTCCCAGGCACCTACTACGTGCTGGAGGCCAGGGGACAGAAGGAGGAGAAGGCAGGCTCTGTGCCCTAGGAGAAGCAGGAAATTAGCACATGCTTATGACCCCTGGGAGAAGAGAACTGCTGAGGGCAAGAAGAGCTACAGATGAAGCCCAGGGTGCTTCAGAGGTGACGTGTGCACTCCAGAAGAATGTGTGCTCACTGGGAGGAGACAATGGCCCAGCAGAGGGGCCAGCCTGGGCAAAGGCTCACATGATGTCCCCCTAGCCAAGAAATTCACCTTCCAAAGAGATGCCCAGGGCAGTAACCACAGACAATTGATAATAGCCCCAAATGAGAAGCAACCTAAATGCCCAGCCAGAGGGGACTGGTACTTTAAATCATGGTATGTCAGGTTGCCAAATCATGATGCTAAAATGTGAGGTGCCAGGCAGACAGTGTCCACGTTCAGCACATGTCCAGTGAACGTGTGAAGCAGGTCGCACAAGTGTTCGCCTGGTTATATGTTTTGCAAAATAAAAAATAGAGGGAAGAATGCAGGAAGAGGACAGGAAGTGCAACAAAGCATCAATTCTGGTGATAAGATTGAGTGTTTTTTTACTCTATGACTTTTTTTTTTTTGTCTGCACCTTTCCTGTGATCATCAGAATATCATGAAGGATGGAGAGTATGAGAAATTCAAGGCGGACATGAGCAGAGCATTGGGTGCTGGTAAGGGAGGGGCTGGGATAAGGACCAGGCCTCAGGGACTTCCGGTGCTCATCAGCAGTGACCCGAGCTTCCCTGGGTCCTCCCTGATGCCTGGTCCATGGCCAGCTTGATGGAAGGAGTTGCTACTCAACCAGTATTCACCTGCACTGTGTTAGGCCCCAGAATCACACTGGCAGAGAGGCCAGAAGCATTCACAGGAAGTAGAGTCAGCATGGGTTGGGGACTGGGACAGCCTCCCAAAAGGAGGTGACCTTCAAGCTGGGGCTTGAAGGATGGAACCTGTTTTCATGTCCCCACCTGTCCCCTTAGGGTCCTCTGAGGTCTCTACCTATCAGCGCAGGTCAGTTTGGATCCTGACACAGCCTGGAGTGGGGGTTCACCTCCATGATTATGGTCCAACTACCTGGCATGGGCCTCATTCAAGACCTTCCTTCAGGTCCAGAGCCCAAGGTGGAAAAGCCATGCCCAGGCAGTGATCCAAGTCTCTGCCTACCACCATCAGGCCTAAATACAGCCTACAACGACTACAATTCCTCTCCTCCTCCCTGACCTCAAGTTCAAATTCAGCCTCTGCCATTACGGCTTGTGATGCTGGACCTCAGTCTCTTATGTATGGCTGCTCTGTGCTCACCTCTGCCCCTAGGGCAGGGCAGCTAGAGTGCCTGGTACATAGTTGGCACTTAGCAAGTGGTGGAAGTTGGCACAGGTATAGATACCCAGTCTGGGACTCTGGATTCCAACCCAGGTCTGTCACTAACCTTGGGACCTTGGAACATCTTGATGTTTCTTGAAGCCTAAGTTTTCTCAGTTTGGACAGAAAGGGGCCACGATGGCTCACTCACTCCTGGACTTGCTCATAGATGTCCAGAGGAGATGAGAGAGACCTCAAAAGCTCCCACTCCTAAAGTTCTCTCAGGCCAGTGTCCAAATGAGGGCCCCCCCACCCCGAGCCTATACTTGCCCCACTCACCCCAGGCCAAGCACCAGACAGAGCTCCATAGAGGTGTAACCAGGCAGGATGGCCGCCCTTACCATCTGCCAGAACCAGAATGTCACAGCGCATGGCTTTCAAGAGCTCCTGGCCACTCCTGCCCTCTGATCACCACCCTAGAGCCTCCCCCTTTGAGAGTGCTCAGATGCCAGTACCCACGACCTTTGCCTCCTCCACCGTGCTACCTGGGTTTTTGAGAATGTGTCCAGGTGCCTTTGGCTGGTCTGTTTCTCACAACAGTCTGGCTGGGACCCCAGGAGAGTCACCCTTTCCTGTAAAGGGAAATTAGAAACTCATTTATGGATTTAAAACACTGGGGCTCCAAAGGTTTCAGAATCTGTGCAGCTTTTATATTGTAAAGTTGGGACTACAAGGACAACCTTCAGTCTCCAAACTCCTGCCATCCCCTCTACCAGCCCTGCCCCCCACCAACCAGATGCCAGGTCAGCTCCTTCCAAACCCTCTAAGGCCGCCAACCCACTCCCACTTCCACGGCAGTCCAGCCAGGCTCAGTGGAGCTCTTGTGAGCTGTCCAGGGTCCTGGCTGGACCCAGCCCTGCCCCCACAGGCTTCCTCCTGCCACCTCTCAAGCTCCTGAATCTAAAAGAAAGAAAGTGGAAACAGGTGACACTGGGCCTGCCTCCGGGCTCCCAGCCCTGCACTGCCTATGAACCGTGTAGGCCCTTGGACCTCACAGGTCAATGCTCGGCCTCGGTGGCCTTTTCTGAAAAGTGAGTGCCACATGGAACAGGAGGTGATTCCTGGTCAGTCAGCCTCACAGATGTCTCTGCCACTTCCTCTAGGCCAAAGCCTGTGACCTGGCCCTGCCTTGAGCAAGGGGTTCAGATGGCAAGGAACCTGGAAACTAATGATGACCACACCTGCGAACAGAGTAGAGGGGAGTGTCACAGGCTGGGGAAGCACAATGGGGCTTCCCACCCCTCCTGGGGGGCAGAGGAGGAGGAGGTTGGA